CCTGGAACCTTGTTTTTTTGCCAATTCTTTCAGAGCAACTTGAACTTCCTCCTTCATCACCACAGGCTTGCTCATAAGTCATTTCATGCAATTCTTGTGTCAGCCAATTCCTTCTGGTAGAGTGATTGTGTGTACTCCTTTCATCTTCTTTTAATGCTTCTTGGATCATTTAACACTCTACCCAAAGCACCCTTAAGTATTGCCACTTGTGGCTTGAATTTTTTTAACTCCTTCAGCTTAAGAAATGCTGAGCAAGTTTGGCTCTTTTGATTTTGACTCCAGCTCTTTGCACATTTTATTATAGTATCTTGCTATGTCATCCTGAGCTGCCCTTTGAAATGTTCTGTTCAGCTCTTTAAGAAAGAAATGGAATGCATAAAAGTTGACATACTAGGTATTGGCAAAATGAGATGGCTTGACATGGGACATTTTTAATCAGATGATCATATGATCTACTATAGCAGGGATAAAAGGTCAGAAAAAATGGGGTTGGTTTGATAATTAAAAAGTCATTTCTAGATGCATCATGAAATACAATGTCGTGACAGGATAATATCCATATGCATACAAGGAAGTCCAGTGAATACCACTATCATTCAAATATATGCACTGCCAACTAGAGCCAAAGAGGAGGAAATTTCTACCAACTTTTGCCGTAAGAAATCAATCAAACATGCAATCAAGATGCATTGATAATAATAGGCGACTGGAACGCAAAAGTTGGGAACAGGCCTCGATTACATTTGTGGAAAAAGAATCGCTGGAGAAGCTCAGTATCAGCTGTGAAAACCAGGCCACGTGCTGATTGCAGGATAGACCACCAACTACTCAATAGGCAAGTTCAAGCTGAAGTTGAAGAAAATGAAACGAAAATTTGACCTTAAGTCTATCCCACTCGAATTTCAAAACCATCTCAGGAACAGGTTTGAGGCCTTGAGCACCAAAGAGCGTAGACCAAATGAGCTGTGGGAGGATATAAAGAATATCATCCATGAAGAATGCAAAAGATCATTATAAAGGCTGAAGAGGAAGAAAAGACCAAGATGGATGTCAGGAGACTCTGAATATTGCATTAGAGCACCGAGAAGACAAAGCTAAAGGAAGAAATCAAGAAATTAAAAGAGGTGAACAGAAAAAAATTTCAAAAAATACTGCAGCATTATTCACAATAATAATCATAATCATAAAGCATCTCAAGTGCCAATCAACGAATGGATAGAGAAACTGTGGCATATTCACACAATGGAGCCTTGAAAAACAACCAACTCGTGAGACACTACACAACATGGGAGCATGTTTTGCTGAGTGAAGTAACTTAGTCGCAAAATGACAAATACTGTATAAGACCGCTGATACAAAAATAAGATGGGAGAAGAGGGGTGACAGAAGAGCAGGGAAAGAATGGATTTGTAATTCCTGTATTGTAATAGGCAAAGGAAAAGTCAATCTGAAATAACTAGAAGATGAGACATTATGTGTGCTGCAATAAACAATCTGGGACAGAACATTGACGATCAATTATATGGCGTGGGGAAGAAAAATGAAGAGAAGGTGGTTGAAGGAATAGCAATATACAATAAAGATTTGCTTTGACATTGAAATAATTGTATTAATGTGAATTACATGCCTGTGAATGTCTAAAAATATGAGGTTTGTAAACTTTCACTCGAATGGATTCTTTTAGAAAATGTGCACACAGGAGAAGCAAACCTGGTTTAACAGAAATAGATGTATAAAGAGGACACCACCCTCAACTCTTACCCTCCAGCAAAAGCATATTAAACTGTCATACGTAAAATGATGCAAACACCAAGAAGGAAGGCATGTATTCCTTTAGGCATAGAAGGGAATAGAATATGCCTGCTTGCATGAAGTAACAGATAAAAGAAGGGGTAAATAAAAGTGTTTTGAGTAAAGGTCTAACTGCTTAGACCTAAGGAGGAGAACAGAAAGAATCATGTGAAGTGTGAACATTTCATTAGTGGACCTGAGAACAATCAGAATCAAGACATTTAAAGACACCACAAGATAAAGGTAAATAATCCAATAGAAAAATGGGCACAGGATATGAACAGGCACTTCACCGAAGAC